TCTTTGGGATTTTTTTTTTTTTGTAAAATTCCCTGTGCCTTTTCTTTCACTCACCCTTTCCTTTTTCTTGTGCCATGTCCCGTTTTTGAAGCCATGGAAGTGACATCAAGAGTAACAGGTTATCAGAAGCAGCTCCTCCAGCTCATTGCTGTTTGTACCTTTTCCATCTTTGTCCAAATACCTTTCTGTCTCTACTTATCAGTCCTTCTCCCATGTTCAACTTTCCTTTTTATAACCCTCTGTCTTGCTGCCCATCCCTCCCTTTTTCTATCCCTTTCTGCTCCTTGCCCCTGTCTTCCCCCACACCCTCCATCCACGGTGATTTTCTCTCTCTGCGTTGTTTCCCTTCTTTGTATCTCTCTGTCCTTCATGTGTGTTTACCACCCTGTCTTGCTCCCTGCCCTTCTTTTTCTCATTCTGACCCAGTGTCCTGCTCCCTGATACTCTTTCCCTGTTGCTCTGTCCTTTTATCTGTCCTTCTCCATGCCTCTCTCATTCCTCCTCTTCCTTTTTTATTCTCTCTTGCCCTGTCCTGCTCCCTGTGCCACTGTTTCTCGTTGTATCCTTCTGTTCTTTTCCCTGCCCCTATTATTTTTTAATCCCTCTCTGCCATGCAGCCCATCCCATTTCACTTTCATCCTGCACCCTATCCTTATTTTCCTGTCTCTGTCCTGCTCCCACTCCATCTTTCTGCCTCTCCTCCTCTCTCTCCTGTGCTTCCAGGTACAATTCCCAAACAGGCAGGTGGTGGTGCCTTCAAGTGACATGGTTTAGTGGTGGACTTGGCAGTGCTGACCTAAATGTTGGACTTTGATTATCTCCAAGTTCTTTTACAAGATGATTCTATAGTGCTTTTTTTTGGTCCCCTCTTGTTCCTCTATCCTTTCTCTTGTCCCTGTCTTTTCTGTCTTTCCCTTGCTGTCTCATTCCCTGCCTTGTGCTTTCTCACTATCCCTGCATGGTCCAGCTGGCCGCCACTTTTCAATTCTCTCATCCTGCCCCCTGTTCTGCACTTTTGACAGCCTCCACCTCTGCCTAGCAGCCTGTGGCCCAACCAGGGGATTACCACCCAGCAGTTCCCTGCTAGACTGAGGAGTGTGGCTCCAGGAGTGACTGCCAAGGTGTCCCAGGGGCAGGGACAGCATTGGGGGCACCAAGGGACAGAGCAGACTTGCTGCAGGAACTGGTTACATGTGTGACTGAAGAAACACTGTTGCCTTTGCCCTCGCTTTGCACCTGGAAGCCTAGGGCAGGAAGGGATGCACTGCAGGGATTGAGAAATGTGCCCTGTTCCTGTGGGGCCTGGTGGCATCTCTGGTCCCATGCTCATGGTTTTTAAAGAGATTCTACTGTGCAGCATATAGTAATTGGAAAATCCTTGAGTGATGACTTTAACTAATTTTCTGTTTTTCTATTAATGGAAGGAGTTTTTTCCCCTGATTTCTTATGCCCCCCCCCCAAAAAAAAAAGACAAGATACTTGTCAGGTTGCAAATACACAGCTGAGCTGTGCTGCTTGCAGCATTGTTTGAAAAATGTAAGTACTTTCTGTTAAAAGATGAATTATCAGAGATGTCTTTGTTTACTGCTAATAGTTCACATCTGGTTTTATGCTTTAAGAATCACAGTTCTTTATTTGTATAAATTGAATGAAGTACATGATAAATTCCTTCACTTGACTTCTTTCCTTTAAAGTTGTCATGCAGCTGTGTATTTTTGTAGACTTCTCTAGATGTTTTAAATTTTAACATAAAAGTTTTCCAGAAGCTGAGGCAACTGCAGCAGATCTGTTGTAAAAGGCTTAAACAGGAATTTAATTTATTGATAGATTTCGTAGTGGTTTCTTTGGAATGGCAACATTTATAATCGGATACTTGAATGTGATGTTGGCATGGAGCGCAGAAAGCAAAATGTATGAGGAAACTTCGAGCAGAATCTCTGTGGAAATACCTTGCTAATGGTGCTCTAATGCCGTGACTCAGAGCAGGTGCACCCTCACTCTGGCAGCGCAGTTCATGCCGTCACCCTCTCTGTTCGGAACCACCCGTGGTTAATGCAGGTCCCGGCGCAGTGCCAGGACCCGGCAGGTTCGCGGAGGGGTCGCGGCCCCACTCGTAGGGCTCAGCCGGCTCTGCCCCAGGAGCGGGGCCGCGCTGTCACTGCGGGCTGTCCGGGAGCGGGGCCCATCCGCGGTGCTTTGGTCGCCGCCGCCGCCGCCGCCTGGTGACCGAGCTGCGGAGCTGCGGGTGCCGCACGGCGGGGCTGCCGCCCAGGAGGGAAGCTCCGCTGCGGGCTCGCCGCCTTCGCGCACCGGCGGTGGCGGGCAGGGAGCCGCGGGAGGAGCGGGGCGCTGCCGCGGCTGCAGCGAGGTCGGAGGGGAGCGGGGAAAGAGCAAGAGATGCCTTTCCCGACAGATCTCCGCGGCCCGCGGGCTCTGCCCCTTTAGCGCGCCTGCCCCAGGTGTGAACAGTGACGGTGAGAAGGTGCCAGGGCAGCCCCAGGTGTGAACAGTGAAGATAAGGACGGGCGTGCCCTTCTGGGGGCAGATCTCGGGAGTCATATGGGTGTACCTTTTGCACGGAGTTGCCGGAGGGGAGCGGTCGATGGGACGATTCCTGAGCATCTCTCAAGAAACGATAGTGAGGGCATCTCACCGGGACTGGGGGAGCATCTGGATGCACCTGGAGATGGAGCCTTGCTCAGGGAAGGTGGAGTCCTGTATCGAGGGGCAGCGCAGGAGAGGGGAGCAACACCCAAGCAGGTGGGACAGTGTGGGGGCATAGGGAATCACATGGAATCACACAGAATCACAGAATACACTGAGTTGGAAGACACCTACAAGGATCATCGAGTCCAACTCTTAGCCAACTCAGGACCATCCCCAAGTCACACCACATGCCTGAGAGTATCATCTAAATGCTTCTTGAACTCTGTCAGGCTTGGGAAGTTGCAGCTGTGGCTGGAGGAAGAGCTTGGAGGTTTCTTTTATTTGGTATAAACGTGCAAAGCACGGAGTGAAGTGGGATATAAGAACTGCAGATGTTCAGGCGGGTGATCCAGCACTCAGGGGAGGGGGTCACTTTGCTGAATACCTGAAGTTCTAATTGCCTCAGGAGCAGTCACAAGAAGTTTCCAGTTTGGGGCTGGGCTCTGAAATGAAGGAATTTGCAATTGCTTCTTCTGATAAATCTGTTAAGTATGGGAGGCTGTAGGAAGCTCACTGCTGTGACCAGTCCGTAACTTCCATTGATAGCTGTAAAAACAGTGGTTTTTATTTCTTTGGTACACAAAACATGATGGTATTTGTTAAACTCACTTGCTAAGTTGTGCATTCCTTGAGCAATGCTTGCCTCTTTCCCTTTTCCTAGAGGGATGATCTGTGTTGTCTTGGAAGCAAGAGAATGTCCTGGTATCTGGTGCTTTTATTAGCTTTTTTTTCCCCTGCTTATCTTGTGGTGAGTCATTTCAACTGGGAC